AGACTTTCTCAATTACTTGTAGCCGAGGACACGTGCATGTTATCAGGCCCTCTTTCATGGCAGTAGTCGTAGTAGGACCTGGAGAGCTGGCTTGCTCTTTTTAGATATTATGTTGGGCAGTGCCCTCCCTGTGGGCAGGCAGGCTGACTTCTCTTTCTATCCCTGATGCACCAGGCAGGCATAGTGTAAGGCACAAAGGAGATGGTCCCCAGTTGACAGTAGGATTAGTTTAGGAATGTCACGCATAACTTTGCAATTATCTTTGTTGAAAGTCACGTTTGTAATGTAACGTTTACTGGATCAAGCACCACGGTGTGTGTGTGTGTGTGTGTGTGTTTGTGTGTTTTATTTTTTAAACATTTTATTTATTTATTTTAGGGAGAAAGTGCGAGCACGAGTGGGGGAGGGGCAGAGGGAGAGAGAATCTCAAGCCAACTCCGTGCTGAGCACAGAGACAGATGCTGGGCTCAATCTCACAACCCCGAGATCATGACCTGAGCCAAAACCAAGAGTCGGACGCATAACCAACTGAGCCACCCAGGCGCCCCCTGTGTGTGTGTTTTAGAAGAGAGAGTGAGAGAAATTAGGGTTAACATTTCTAATACCTATAAAACAAGACTATGCTCTGTGGAGCCAAGGCTAACTGCCAGTTAAGTTACATCAGTGATTGTTGGTACCCTAAGCTCCCAGTCCTTAATAAAAGAATTCTGCACTTTAGTGCAGAATTTGAACCAAAGTTCAAATCCAGGGCTCTGGACTATATGGATTCACCCCATTTGGAGAGCCATGCTGTAGAAATACATATCAATCCTGTTCAGGATGTTCTGTCAAGGTCACTGACAAAAATCCATTCAGAACCTAGTTGATTTCCCCAAAATACGTACAACCCCAAGTGCCAAAAAAGATACTCCTAAATCATTCGGAGTGTCATACTTGTTTCCATAGGCATATTTTAATTCTGGGAAGATTTAGAATTGAAAAATAGAAGATTTTAATAATCAAAGCCACAGTGTTAATATTTGACTTAGAGGTTCTACACATATTTGATGTTTTTAAGTAATTATTTAAAATAATTTGGCCCATGCAACAGGTCAGCCAGCCTGTTTTCCCAAATTAAAATGTGCAGTGAAGTAATTGATTTAGACTTGATTTTTGGGAGGGTTGAAGTCTTACTAGATTCATAAGCAGTATGAGAGTATTTAAGATAATTTATTAGGTTTCTTTTTTTTTTTTTTAAAGATTTTATTTATTTATTTGACAGAGAGAGAGAGAGAGAGAGACAGCGAGAGAGGGAACACAAGCAGGGGGAGCGGGAGAGGGAGAAGCAGGCTTCCCACCAAGCAGGGAGCCTGATGCGGGGCTCGATCCCAGGACCCCGGGATCACGACCTGAGCCGAAGGCAGATGCTCAACGACTGAGCCACCCAGGCGCCCCAATTTATTGGGTTTCTAAGAGTTGTTTAAGGAAGGTTTTAGAAGTTAGGTCAAACAGTTCTAATAATTAAAAGAATTAAATATATTCTAAATTAAATATGGAATTTTAAATGTTTAAAGGACCAGACATTATTTGAATGGCCCTTTGAAAGCAATTATAAGAGGCGCCTGGGTGGCTCAGTCGTTAAGCATCTGCCTTCGGCTCAGGTCATGATCCCAGGGTCTTGGGATCAAGCCCCCGCATCGGGCTCCCTGCTTTGCAGGAAAACCTGCTTCTCCCTCTCCCACTTCCTCTGCTTGTGTTCCCTCTCTCGCTGTATCTCTCTCTGTCAAATAAATACAATCTTTAAATAAATAAATAAATAAATAAAACCCCCAAAACAAGAGAGTGATTATAAAATTATAGGATATATAAATTGAGGATGAACTAGGGTGATTAAATTTGTTTTTTAAATAAATGAATAAGGGTGCCTGGGTGGCTGAGTCGGTTAAACAGCTTCCTTAAGCTCAGGTCGTGATTCCAGCGTCCTAGGATCGAGTCCCATGTCAGGCTCCCTGCTCAGCGGGAGCTGCTCCTCCCCTGGCTCATGTGCATTTCTCTCTCTCTTGCTCACTCTCTTTCTCTCTCAAATAAATAAAATCTTAAATACATACATACATACATACGTACGTACGTACATATACACACACACACTTTTAAAAACCAGGTAAGTCCAAATAGCGTTTCTGTATACAGCGCTGCCCTCACGGTGATTAGAAAATTCACATGAAATAAAGTGATTAACAAACACTGTTCAGATCAGGTAGATACTCAGAGTTAGTTGAATTTGAATTTACAGTTGGAATCAGCAGTATTCCTTATGGAGGCAAGAAATACAGAAACCTCAAGTTAATTACCCTTCATGCCTTCAAACATGGTAGGGAAGAAAGAACACAGGGTTCTGAAAGGTGATCTTACGTTAAGAACGGGAAACAAGAGTCACGACAAGTTTCGGTGAAATGGTGGCTATGACGTAGTGCTCCGCATGAGTTAGCTGTTCAGTGAGAGCCTGTTGTAGACGTAATAATTTTCAGATGTGCTTTAATCAGAGTTTGCGTTGACACTGTTTAATTCCAAGGGGTGTCATCTGCATGGACCCCCAGGTGGTGTACAGTCAGATGTGGCTGTCCTGGGTGTTGATCTCACCATTCCACCCAGTGCCGTAAGGAATCAGCTCTAGAGGTTGTGTGTCACGCACATCACACAACTTCATCTCCTTTCACGGAAGAAGAGTAGGGGACCAGGGGACGTTTTTGCTATCTGGACAAGGTTTGGATGAAATTGCACATAATACTGAACCCCGGATTTATTTCATACTGGCCACTCAGACCGCCCTGAACAGGACGCACAGGGAGGCCCTGAGTTTGGAGGATGCTTGGCTCTCCTGCAGACATTGTCATTTAGGTCTGGCTTCTGGTAATTAGGCACTCCTGGCCGAACTCTGCTGTCAGCACGCCTTTGAGACAAATTGCAAAATCTGTACAACCATCTGAGAGATAGAGAAGTAGACCCCAATGACACTAGAGGGGATATTGGTAGTTCTCAAAAGTTTGAGAGAGAATGCTTAGAGAAGCAGTTCTTTAACCTGAATTTAGAGGTCCTTTTCCTGTGGTGAAAGGGTAAGTTCAGACAAGCATCAGGATCTGAGAGGATCCTGACAGGCTGCAATGATAGGCTTAATCTAACGGGATGAAATGCAATTGGAAATAAATGTAAGGTTCTGTATTTGGATCAGAAAAATCCCAACTATGCGTGAAAAGACTGGGTAAAGAGGTAGGGATATATCTGAGGAGTAATCTACATGAAAAAGACCTCTAGGAGTTCAAATGACATAAATTTGACAGTTTATTGTGGTTCCCCAAAATCAAATGCAGCGTTAGGCTGCATTAACAGAGGTAGAGTGTTTAGGATGAGGGAGGTGATAGACTTCTGCTGTGGACTTGTCATAGGAGGAGCACCACTGTAGTTCTGGGCTCCAGGCTATGAAAGGAAACGAGACAAAGGATGGTCCCTGGATGGAAATGGTAGTGTTCCAAAGCTGTCACAGGTAACAGAGGAACAGAAGAGGTTTGGCCTGGGTACAACTCCAGGAGGAACTGAAAGCTGTCATTAGTATCTGAAAGTCAGTCATGTGCATAGCCCTGTTCTTGTTAAGAGGAATAAGGAGAATCTGGGGATAAAAGTTATAAGAAGCCCCAAATAAGAAGGGTCTTTTTTTCCCCCTTAAATATGTTTTAAGGTAAGATGGACTGCCTCCTTAAATCTAGAAGTACTTGGTTAGGCTCCTAAGAATTGAGGCTTCTACTGGTGGGAGCAGATGACCCGGAAGAACTTCCCAGCCCCAGGATTCATGATTCCTCCGCCTTCCAGTGGTGACCCTGTCCTGCGTGGTCCTAACACAGGCAGGCCACGGACAGAGCCATAATGACAGGAACCATCTGGGCAGTGCTGAGGGAGCCTTTAGAACCCTCCGACAAGATTTCCACGCTCTTGGGTTGGTCATCATTCGTGCGGACAGTTCTTTACTCTTCCAGGGTAGGTCGGGGGTGGGGGGTGGTGGGGGTTGGTCCCTATCTTTCACCAGAGGCTCTGTTTTTTCCTCATTGGTTCTTTCCACGTGCCCAGCAGTGTGCTGGGTACTGGGGAGGCTTTGGGGCGAAGGACAAAACTCTTGCCATCTCTAGGTATGCAGCCTTTTCTGGGAAGTAAGACAGCACAAACAAACCCTACAGTGAGCCTTGCAGTTAATGATTGTAGGTAACTGCACGAGTGGGTTCTTATTAGTGTAGTCGTAGTGATACATACCCCACTTAGCTCCGGGGACACCTTTTCCCATCAGATGCCCATCTTCGCAGTTAGATGATCTGTTTGAGGCCTCTCAGTCTCCTGGTAGGCTAGGGGCACGCGGGTGTATGTTTGTGTATACTTGTAGTCGTTTTCTTTCCCTTACGGGTTATAAAGTTTTGAGGAGGTTAAGTCATTTTTTTTTTTTTCTTTTTCATGAACATGATCTTACGTAGAGTTAGTTCCTAGCACAGTGACTACCTGTAGGGAATGTCTGCCTTCATACTGTTAATCTCCGTCTCATGGTAGGAGCAGTTCATTCTGCAGTTGCCGTACTGACTCTGAGTGGAGTTAGCTAGAAGCCTGGGTGAGGGGGGGGGCAGGCACGAAAACTTAGTCGGGAACAGAAATGAGTTTGTGGATTCCCACTGCGCATCCTGTGTTTGTTGCTCATACATGTTAGGTGCGAGCATGTAAAGAAACAAGAAGGCACATTTCCATCCTCAGTTGTTAATCATAGTTCATCATTAAATGCCCTTCATGCTAAATTTCCTCTAGTACATATTATTGCAAACAATTGTACTGTTTTATTTTTCTAGCATTAGTGAGTGTACAGCTCCAGCTTAAAAAGTCTTGATTCAAAATTCTTGGCTTTCAGAGGCTGTTTTTTGGGGTTTTTGTTTGTTTTTGTGTGTGTGTTTTTTAAGGTAACCCATCTTACTGTAAATTCTTTTTTCTTTCAGGTAGGAATGAATTGATAGCCAGATACATCAAACTCAGGACAGGCAAGACGAGGACCAGAAAACAGGTAAACTGACCGGCCTGGACACTGTGCATGTCAGCGAATGGCCCCAACGAGGCATTTTGGCTGCAGTGGCTGTCTGTGCTTTGGCTCCTAGGAGCCCCCAATTTGAGTTCCCTGTAAGGACATCAGTGTTGTAGGTATTTTCAATTGGCTCAGTTTTCACTGTTCATCATTTCAGTGACCCCTCGCTGTGTGGTCTACGGAGTCCTTTTCATACCCAGCTGGGAAAGCATCACCACGAAGGACAGTGTAAGCACTGCTCCTGTACCATATTTTAATACCTCTAGTTCTTTCCCAAACTGCGCATCTGTAAACACTGCAAAAGCTGCAGGTGCAAATACGCCCAGAAGTCGTGAAACTTGGAGATTTTGCGCATTGTAAAATCCTGGAACCATTACCCATGAGTCATCATTTCGATGAAACAGTAACCCCAGCAGCCGTGAGTCTTGGCCTGAACATAATACTGAATGGTGTGCGTCCAGGGAATGGTTGCTCCTTCAGCTACGGCTTTTTGTCAGTAGCTGCCGTGACGGAAATGAAGTTACAACTTAAATACGTTTGTGCAGAGCAGTGTTAGGAATTTTGCTCTGCCCTTTGTCAGGGCTCTGGCTCTCCTTGTTCCTTCTGATGCAAAGCAGCCCAAACCCCTGACCCAGTTCAGAACTGGAAGGGATGAGAAATTCATGTTTAACAAAAAACAGAAAAAGAAAGAAAGGAAAAGCGGGAGGGGGGGGAATCAAATCAACCTCGTGGGTGAGTTGTTAACAGAACAAAATTATTTTTTAATGTTGACCTATGCAGATCTATCTGGCATGGATTTTTAAAAAACTATCATCATACCGAAAGGCGAGCTCAACTGTGGTCTCTTTAAGTGTGAGCAGCAGATTCCAGTTCTCTGCTCCGTGATGAGTTGTTTTCATGAGTGTTTATGGCGGGGAGAGCTTTTCCCCAGGAATGCTTACATGTGCCCCCGCCAGGAGCCTGGCTGCTGAGTCAGCACAGAGGGCCATGGCCTCCTGCCAGTACGCAGAGGCGGGGCATTGTCTGTTCAGTGGATGTCCCCCCCCCCCCCACAGCAGTGGACAGTGGCCCTCTGCAAGTCAGAGAATCACCTTAGAACAAAACTCGGGTGAGAACAAGTAAAACCAGGAGCCGGATGGAGGGGTGAAGAGGATGGGGGAGTTCCTGCTTCTCCGTACTTTAAAAAAAAAAAAAAGAAGGCAAATTGGAAAAAAAAATTAATTATTGAAACTCAAAGATAAAAGGATCTTTTATTACCCTAAATCCTGTTTTTAGAGTCAGTATTTGAAATGAAATAACCACCTCTCAGTCTGAGTCGCTGAACTTTTAAATGGAAGGTTCTAAATTTCTGAAACAGACAGATCTAATTCCCAACATGCTGAAAGCCCTGGACCTGAGCTGTGTGCTGGTCTAGGAGCTCTGGTCATGTGCCCAACCCCTTCACTGGGGGACTCTTCTAAATTTAACCAAGTCCCGCTGAAAGAGATGCAAATTTGTTTACCCAGTGGAATCATTGTGTTTCAGAAGCTGGGCTTGGCTGGCTTTCCACACCCCGGCATCCTGGGGATGTTTTTAGGCAGCAGTTGGTGATACCTCTCCAATGTGAATTTGTTGTTCAGCAAATCGTGTGGTTTTCAACCCAGATTTTTAACAGGATGGCTGGCTGGCTGTATTCACACTTTTCGCTTTGTAATAATATGCAAATCCACTTGGCACCCAGTCAATATCCAAAAGAGTGGAAGGATTAAAGATATTTATAAGGGCAAAAAAAAAAAATTGCTCTGCTAACTGGGTCTTTCCATTTCTCTTTGAGATCTAATTTACATGTCAGTATTATTTTAACATTTGCTACAGAATCCAGAGCTCTTAATGAGATCAGAATATAACCGACGGCTTCAGCTTTTTGATTCTGCAGAATGTGCTAATTTATGGATAGTCTCTTCTAAATTGAGAAGAAGGGATTTTCCCTCCTGATACTGAGAAGCTATAAATATTTTCATTTACCTCTAGCCCCACCTTTTAAATTTCAGAAAGAAAACAACCCCACTCTCTCCCTCTCATCCCGTGCCCGTGATTTCTCCCTGATGAGAAAACTAAGAGCAGCCTAACTTTCATCCTGAATCAAGTCACTGCAGTGATGACCCAGTCTGAAAAGCTTAGAGCAGCGCTGGGGGCTTGGTGTCTGGCTGGGACTGTGTATTCCTAACTGCAGAGCTTTGTTGAGATGCAAATAACCTCCCCCCCACCCCCCACCCCAAAACCCTCCCAAGGAGTAGCGATTTTATATTTGATTTCCTTTTTTTGTTTTGTTTTGTTTTGTTTTGTTTCCCCTCATAAACCCGAACAATGTAGGTGTCTAGTCATATACAGGTCTTAGCAAGAAAGAAAGTTCGAGAAATTCAAGCCGCCATTAAGGTACGTCTGGCTTGCCCAGTTGTAGGGGGCTTTTCATCTCCATGGTTACAGGCTTTTCCTTTGTTTTCCTCCCTTCCCCTACCCTGCAGGTGTCTAGTCACATTCAGGTTCTTGCCAGAAGGAAATCTCGTGATTTTCATTCCAAGCTAAAGGTATGCGCTTTCCTGCTTTTTGGCTTGTGGTTGCTATGCATCTCACTTCCTGTTTTCCATGGTGACTGGTGAATGCCTGGTGCTGGGATTCTCGTAACCTAGTTTCCTCGCATGTGAGAGCTGTTTACATTTCTTTGTGTCTAATCTCTCTTTCTGTACTAGCCTCACATTAAGCTCAGATGTGTGTGTGTGTGTGTATGTGTGTGTGTGTGTATGTGTGTGTGTCCCTAATAACAATGCAAATGCAGCAGAGAGCTGGTCTTGATAACTTTTCAGCACAGAAACATGATTTTTTTTTAACCTTCAAACGTCCACCAAACAGCCCTGGGCTAGGAGAGGGGAAAAACAGTCCAGAGACACAAAGTAAGTGTAGATATAGTAAATAAATAAAATAAAATAAGAATCACTTCCAGAGTAGTTATCATGAAATTACTTTAAAAGAATATTTAGAAGTTGTTTTACGCTTTTTATGTATTTTAAAGAATACTTATGAAAAACACGTCTTTTTCACTTAATTTTTCGAAAAGTGTGTTCTGTAAGCACAGAGAGTATTTTCTGCCAGATTTCTTCCACATTGCTCAATATTGTTTTTTAAGTGTACAGCTCTGTTATTAAAAAAAGAAATTTGAAGTGAGGCCTTAAAAAAAGATCATAGAGATGGGAAAGCTCTTAATCAAATCCATGTTTGCGATTCCATTTATACGTGAGTTTACTTTAATTGTTCTTTACAGGTGTCTCATTTTCCAGTCTCTGAAAATATATTTCACAGCAAAAATGGAGGCACTGACAGTTTTTAAATGCAAGTTCTCCTTATTTTCTCCCCTTCCAAAATTTGCAGTAAAACATACATGACTTTTTTTTTCCCATAATGCCCGATTTTAGAAATGCAGAGGGATTATAGTTTGCCCAGAAGAGCTTTGCTTTATAGTAAAAATGAGTTTGGAGCCCATATTGTTGCCTTTCCCACCTGCCTTTTTTGTTGTTGTTCTGTTCCGATTTTTTCCATACATTCATTAAATTTGTTTTTGTACTAAACCTAAAGAACAAAGTGTGATTTCACAGCACTGAATGGTGAACACTGGGATCCTACCCAAAGGCCTCCAACTTTTTTTTTTTTTTTTTTTTAACGCAAACAAGGCTGGCTGTGGAACAGGACTAGTGCCCAGGAAGGAGCATTTGGTGGCCCTCTGCAGTGGGCAGCATGCTGGCTCGCTCGCACGTGTGGCTGATGGTGGCTGGCTTTTAGCTGCACGGGCTGAGCAGTTGGAGGACTAAGATAACTTCATAGATCCTGCTTTTTAACCAAAGGTGCCGTCCTCTCTATGCGGATGTAACTACCCCAGTGTTTGCTCAAGTTCTGACTCTGTTTCTGGTTTCTCTGCGCTAACGAATTAATGATGTACAAAAGAAGTTTACAGACATCAGTTGTGTGTTTCCATCTGCGCTGTTATGAATTGCTCTTATTTCTGTACCATCCGTGTGGTTCCTACCATCTCACCGGGGCACACAGCCCTGGACCAAAATCCCTGTGCATGGTGAATAAAGCTCTCCTGTCCAGAAGGGATTCCCCATGGGATGCAGGAAGTGCTCTTTTTCTCATTTGGGAATTTGAAGAGTCTTCCTCGTTGGAAACAGTTTACCATTACTTTATACATACATGTACACACAAACACACGGTTGTATTCATGTTTGTTCTTACAAAATATGAAAAGGTGACGTCCCCCCTCCTTTCAGCCGTGGCCCACTCGCCTTGGGAGCTGACCTAAGGAGGCGGAAACAGAGGCAATAGGGTAGCAACCGGCTCAGCCCCAAGAACCACCTCCATCTTCTTGCAGTTACTTGCCTTCCTCCCTGCCACATTATTCTTGGAAGAAGGGAGGCCTTTGTTCTTCCCGTCAGCTAATACCATTTGAGCGCTCTGGGCATGGTGTTCATCATGGTGGGCATTTAAGCAGTCAACCCCCTATTCACAGAGCTGGCCGTGGAGATGGGGATGGGAACTATAGGGCACCGTGGGATAAGTGTTAGCGGAAAGAGCCAAGAGCAAACGTGGAGGGAATCCCAGGACACGCTGCCTGGTGATGGGGATGCAGAGACAGGAGTTAGTGTGCTGCAGGCCTCTTGGAGGTTCTTTCCATTGAGCTCACTGCCAAGTAAGTTCCATTATTCAGAGTTTGGGGAATAACAGTGAGGAAACCAGGGCTCCAGGAGTTTAAGGGATGTGCCCAGAGCCCCCAAGCCTAGCACACGTCACTGTCAGGATTTGAACTCAGATCTTTCTGAATCTTAAACCACTGCTCTCTCAGGCGGGGTTGCATCCAGTGGAGGTGGGAGAAGGTTTTCAAGCAGCAGGCCTCACACCGGCACACCTCGTGTCACCCCTCACATCCCTTGTAGCTGGGCGTGCAGCTCTTGCTACCGACCCTTTCCTCAGCACCCACATTTTAGAAGCAAGGTGAATTTTTAACACCGAGCCCTTGGTCCACGTGTGGGCTTCATGTGTGACTGACCCTGTGGTGATCGTCCGTAACTTGGGGCCGTGAGGTCCTAGCCACAGAGCTGCTGTGTCACCCACCACTCAGAGGACATTAGGACAGTCCAGGAGCACGAGACTGGCTGTCACCTACCTGCAGAGATGTTGCCGCCTTTGCCTCCCATGGGCACTTGACGTTAGCGATGCCTTCCTTAACCTTCCTAACCAGCCATCACCGGGAAGTGGTCTCATAGGAGAGGTCGATCTCACCGGTTTCTCCGTGCTCTGCCGTTCAGCTCTGGAGTCTAACAACAGCACATTTGTGGGAGGCAGGGATGAGCCTCCTGGCTGAGTTCGTTGTGGGGTCAGGCTGATAGCCACATCGTCTTGGCCTCCCCCACGAACTAACGAGATAAAGCCGCTACAGAAGGTTGAAGTCATCCCAGCAGACAAGGATAGCTTCTGGGTGGGGGGGAGGGGGTGGCAGGAAGTATCCAGACTTAACAGAGATGTTGTGTCCTGCCTGAGAAGATGTAGCAAGGCCTTCTGGAAGGAAGGTGGCTGTCCACTGGCCACTTCAGGACCTGTGCCTGCCTGCCGGCCTTAGCCCGCTGCTGGGCACTTTTCCATAATGTTACAAGTCAAGGATTTGTATTCTCTGGGGATGGATAAAGGCCTGTAGCCCTCCTTTGAAGAATGAAGCCAAGCTTCATCCTTCTGTCCTCCCTCAGAGTTGGAAAAAGTAGTTTGCTCACCTGTGCTAGTTGTGGCTTCCCTATGAGCCCTGTTGCCTGTAACCCTCCCTCCTTCCCGGGGAAGGGTGTGCTAGAATTCTTGAGGCTGGTCGCTTTCCTGCCTTTTTTAAGCCACAAACTCATTTTTCAGATTGAAATCTTAGTCAAAACATTTAATAGATAAATGAGTAAATGCTGTTCTTTTTTTAAGATTTATTTATTTGGTAGAGCAGGAGCGGCAAGGGGAGAGGGAGAGAGAAATCTGAAGCCGATTCCCAGCTGAACGCGGAGCCTGGCACAGGGCTCGATCACACCACCCTGAGATCAGGACCTGAGCCAAAACCAAGAGTCAGACATCTAACCCACTGCGCCACCCAGACACCCCTAAATGAGTAAACGCTGTTTTAATTGAAGCTCGTGCTCTTTTATCCTTAGCAATGGCCTCTTTGGCTGTTCCACTGAATAAGGTTTGAAAACCCCCCTGCTTTAGGCCAAGGGAGAAGGAGGTAACTTCCTCAGCTGTCCCTGCAGCCTTTTCAGGACAGCATGTGCTCTGGCGTCGTGCTCCGCCATATTCCTCTGAAGCAAACAGAGTCACGAAGACAGTGGTCATTCTCATGTCACAGTTGAGGAATCATCCTAGCTACGAAAGTCAAGCTCTTGAAAATCTGTTAAAATAAGTTCCAAAGTCAGCTTTATGCTTCTGCTAATTGCAGAAGTGGTTCTCAGAGTGCTTGTTTGTGAGCCAGATCGCCCCAAAATGTGTGGGCTTTAATTTTAACTTTTTTTTTTTTTTTTAAGATTTTATTTGAGAGAGAGAGAGAGAGAGAGAGCACACAGAGGGAGAGGGAGAAGCAGGCTCCTCACTGAGCAGGGAGCCCGATGTGGGACTCGATCCCAGGACCCTGAGACCGTGTCCTGAGCTGAAGGCAGACACTTAACCAGCTGCGCCACCCAGGTGCCCCTAATTTTAACCTTTGTAACAAAATTTGTTTTGGGGGAAGTTTAAGATTTCCACAAAGATTTGAACTTTATAAAGCACAGAAATGATTAATTCAGTCCAGCAGACTTTTCATTGAGTATCCATTGTGTTCTAGACCCTCAAGTAGATGCTGGGCATAGAGAGTCAAATAAGCAGAGTCTCTTTTCTTGAGGACCACTAAACTTTTCTGTTGTTTTTGGCCACATTTGGGGAAATACTAGATTTCCAGTAGATTGTCCTGCAGTTAGGGGAGTCTGCAGTGGAACAGAGTGGTGAAAAGAGTGGGCGGTTTTGAGTGTGGGAGAATTAAGGAAAGCCTCATTGGAGGAGGTGCCATTAGAACTGGGCTTTGAGGAAGGCAGTTTCCCCTGAGATATGGGGGTGTTTGGGGAATCACAAAGAACACCATTACTTGGAGGCACGAGATGGGAATGAGTCTGGAGGAGCCCAACAGGAAGGTCCCAGATCATCTGTGGGAGAGTGAGGGTCACCTCTGGGCCATGGGGAAACTGTGGGGAGCACTCACATGTAAGCTTTGGAAGACAGTGGTCTCTCCCGTTGTTTTCAGAGGAATGGCCAGGAGGGAGGCAGAGCTGGAGGCAGGGGGCCTACTTCAGGGGCTGCTGTAGTCTGAGAGAGAGAGAGAGGTGAGGGCTTGGACCAGGCAGCCACATCCCCCCGGGGCCCATCTCTGTGGTTCACATCAGCGCTCCCCGCCGTCTGCGGCTGGTTCCCGTTCCAGGCCACTCTGACTGCTGTGAACTCTTCCTTAAAGAGTAGGTTATGTTTAAAACTCCAGTCCTTACTAAGT